AAAAAAAGCAGACACACGGGCCAGTGAAGATGCAAACAAAAGCTATTCTAAAACAAAAGTAGTCAATTAAAGTGAACAATAAGAGTTTGAAAAACGGACACCAAAACCAAACCAACATATTATTTCTAATAAGCACCACCTCATAATTCTTATGAATCATACATGAGTGACACACACAAACACACACACACACACACACACACACACACAAAACTTCCTAACATGATCGTCTCTCACTTCTGTTTACCTCGTCTCCTTCTTCTTGCATTCTTCTTCTCTCTCCCCGTATTTTCATTCGTCTTCGGAAATCCTGAAGGTACTTTCGAATCATTTTTATGGTCATCGTTTTTATTTTTCGATCGGTGTAGTTAGTGAAATCTACTTATGAACTTTTTTTTTTTTGTGTGTGTGTAGTTGAAGCTCTTATTGCATTAAAACAAGAGTTGAATGATCCTCATGGAGCTTTGAGCAACTGGGATGAAGACTCTGCAGATCCTTGTAGCTGGTCTATGATCACTTGCAATTCCGACAGTCTTGTTACTTCACTGTTAGTCTTAACTAACTTCTATTCATTAAATTGTTAATGTTGTAAGAACACCATGTTAATTATGACCCATTTTAATGCATATATATATATACATATATGTATATATATTCTCTGCTTATGATTAAGCAGGGGAGCTCCTGGTGAGGGTCTATCAGGTTCTTTGTCTTGGATGATTGCTAACCTTACCAACCTCAAACAAGTGTAAGCAAATTTATTTTTGTTTTTTAGTCTTGTTGTTGGTTTAATACAATGTCATTTTTAGTCCTAAGATCTGAATATATTGTTATTTGGTCCAATGATTTAAAAATTCGACGCAATTTCAATCCGTTGGGGGACTGAAATTGCAACAAAATTTTAATACAAGACTTAAGTTGCTAATAAAAAATCTTTTGGATGAATTTGTTAATGATGAATAAGTCATGTAATTTTAAATTTTGTTGCAATTTCAATATTCAAATGACTGAAATTGCAGCAAAATATTAAAGTACATGATCGAAAACCAAAAGGTTGGAATCTTGTGACGAAAAATGCTATGACGTTAAACCAGCATGACTATAACTGCAGTTTTGCCGTTTTTTATTGTTTGTTTCTTCTTTTTTCAACCTATATTTTTCAGAAGGCCATTTTTCATGTGTTTGAGATTAATGTAGATTGCTGCAAAATAATAATATTTCTGGGCACATACCGAAAGAACTGGGTTATCTACCAAACCTTCAGACATTGGACATCTCTAACAACAAGCTGTCTGGCCATGTCCCTCAGTCTTTCGGGTTCTTGAAGCACCTTCAATATCTGTGAGTTGATTTTACAGTTTTTTTTCGACATATTTTTGGAAAAGCCTAAAATGTCTTAATGTTTTGAGTTTTCATAAGTAGTGTTTGTTATTGTAATTTGTGTTGTAATGGAAGCAGGAGGTTAAACAACAATAGCCTGAGTGGGGCCGTTCCTCTGTCTTTAGCCACTCTGCCTCAACTTACTTTCTTGTGAGTCACTGCTCTCACCATTCTCTCACTCTTGTTTTATTATCAACATGTAGTGAACATTTGTCAACATGTCGACTCGTGTTCGGTCAAAGTGTAACAAACTATACGACCGAGGAGGCTAAGTTGAAAACAAGAAAAAATAGAGGGTCTTGAAGGCAACATACTGCATAGACTAGGGGGTTGAGTGTAATTAATCGCCCCTCGATTAGTTTTGTGTTTTGACATGTGCATTGATTTTGGGTTTCATTTTTCTTTTGTAAAATGTTGCAGGGATTTGTCCTACAACAATCTCAATGGACCTGTTCCGACTTTTCCCGCCAAAACATTTAAGTATGTCTATCTCAATATTGTCATCTTAGCTTTGCAGAATATATTTGTTTCAGCTTCGTTCAAACGAGACAATCATTTGTAAGAACCTTTCGATTTGTTATGGTGTTTTTTGCATTTGAACACCTCTTCTTCTTGTTAATTGATTCTTGCAGCATTATGGGGAACCCTCTTATTTGTGGACAGCACTCTAATGAGAGATGTTCTGGAGTAAACACAGCTACTCCTCTGGCTTTCTCCTTAAATCCATCTTCTAGTAAGTAATTAACCGAGTCGTTCTCCTTCTTTTCCTAATCAATATGAAAGTTCTGTTAATTCCCCCCATTTTTTGTGTCATTTTTTCAGACAGAACGAGCTCCAAGAAACTAGCCGTTGCACTCGGAGTATGCCTCAGCTTCATCATCATTTTAGTCATACTGTTAGGATACCTCTTTTGGAGAAAAACCAGAAAAATCAAGCAATCCATTCTTAACAGCACTGGTAGATGATTTTCTTTTTAAGTGTTAGAAGCTGAAATGAATACATTTTTGTTTTGTTTTTACGTTCTTTCTCTTCTTTTTTCCAGATGTTGAAGAAGAGGAGCTCGGCCTTGGAAGACTCGGAAACCTTAAAACCTTCACCTTCAAGGAACTCCAACAGGCTACCGACAACTTCAGCCCGAAAAGCATACTCGGATCAGGAGGATTTGGCAATGTTTATCGTGGAAAATTGGCAGATGGGAGCATTGTGGCCGTAAAAAGGCTAAAGGACTTGACGGGGACCACAGGGGAGTCTCAGTTCAGGACCGAACTCGAGATGATCAGTTTGGCTGTACATAGGAATTTGCTTCGTGTGATCGGCTACTGTGCAACCCCTAACGAGAGGCTTCTTGTCTATCCTTACATGGCTAATGGCAGTGTAGCCTCCAGACTCAGAGGTTTGCACCTACTTTAGTTTGAAAAAACTGCCTCACTCGAGTAATTAAATCGATTCTTTATGTGTATGTTAATGCACAATTTACAGGAAAACCGAGTCTTGATTGGCAAACTAGGAAGCGAATAGCGATTGGTGCTGCAAGGGGACTGCTGTATCTGCACGAACAATGTGACCCAAAAATAATCCATAGAGACGTCAAGGCTGCCAATGTTTTGCTTGACGAGTTTTTAGAGGCCATAGTTGGTGATTTTGGGCTCGCGAAGCTATTGGACCACGCGGATTCCCATGTGACCACTGCCGTCCGGGGCACTGTGGGCCACATTGCGCCGGAATACCTCTCCACCGGACAGTCTTCTGATAAGACTGATGTTTTTGGATTTGGGATTCTTTTATTGGAGCTTATAACCGGAATGAGGGCACTCGAGTTGGGGAAGTCGGTGAACCAGAAAGGAGCCGTGTTCGAATGGGTATGTTTAGTTATTTCTGATTTTCTTTTTTTTTAAGGGGAACCAAATAAACCATTGAGCAAATGCAACTTATTATGTAAATAAGTTGACATAATCTATGTTGTTTGAAATTTTTAGGTAAAGAAGATACAACAAGAGAAGAAAATCGAAGTAATCGTGGACCGAGAGCTGGGAATGAATTACGACCAGATCGATATCAGTGAGATGCTGCAAGTAGCTATACTCTGCACCCAATACCTCCCAGCCCATCGGCCCAAAATGTCAGAGGTTGTCCGAATGCTCGAGGGAGATGGGCTTGCCGAGAAATGGGCCGCCTCCCATGATTACATCCATGCCCCTGCAAAATTCTCGTGTAATAGTGATAGATCGCGGTCGAGTGAGGGCGATGGGTCAAACTTGTTTGGCTTTGGCATGAGCATGGATGATGATTATGATGCGCATTGCATGGAGCTTTCGGGTCCAAGATGATATTATACTTCCTATAAGGAGATTATTTGAACTTGGTTTGTGTTTAATATACATGTGAGTGAAAATAGGGTGACTTGATGTGGTCTTCTAGTCTTGTATACATATCTTTCATTTTATTTTATTATTTCGTTTGTTTAGCCAAACTCAACTCACTTATGTCTCTCAAACAGCTTCCACAGCTAAAAGGAACAAAGATAGGAAGCTTTCCAACCAAATTATGTACTAAGCTACTAACAACTTGAAACACATAATAGGAACATAACATATAAAAAACGACGCCCTCTCATCGGAATTTGTAAGAGCCCAAGCTCGTTGACGTAAGCAAATAGTCGTCAAATAAAGGTACTGAATTTTGTTCCTAATGCCAGAAATGTTAGATCGAGAATTGGGATAAAAGAGAGAAGATGAATCGAGAGAGATGAATTAGGAAAAATGAACAGTAGTACTTGAACTGCTAGTCACAATGTGTACAAAGTTGCTACTACTAAATACAATGTTAATATCTTTAGCTTCAAAGTATGAATTACTGAAAAAATGATTTACGCTCAATGGACATTTTTCTAGATGAACTGTATAAAGAAACTAATGACAAAATGATGAGCTTTAGGTTCGAGTCAAGGTAAGCTACGATCCACCTGCAAAAGGGCCAAAGGGGCTAGGAAGATTTTCTAGCGTTAGCACTCCGACGCTCAAGTTAACATAAGGAAAGAAGATTATTATTGCTCTGTAATCAAAGAGCTGTATATAATGTATGTAGAGTGTAGAGTTGGTTTTGGATGTACATCAGCCCCTTTGAGGAATACCTGCTCGAAATGGTCTACTGCGGTCAGCCTGTCCAGCTGTCCGAGTTTGAATTTATTTGCTTCGTAATTATCCATATCCTAATCATGTTTTAGTCACCATTAGATTCCTTCATATCGTTCTTATCCCTTGTGATTCAGTTTGCAATGCTTATTAGGTTGTCACCACTTCTTAGGCTGTCTAGTTCGGACCTCGACCATAATGGTCGAGCTCTTTGATATGTCAATCGTCATATGGGAAGAGGTGAAAGGACGTTTTGTCTCTCCTAATTCTATGCCTTTGGGATTTGTGCACGATCTGAGACGTCGATTATCACATAATCCAAGGTCCACAATCCTTTATGTTTGCTATAAATACTTCTTCCTTTGTCAAGGTAATAATACTTTTGCCTCCTTAAGATTTCAAACTTCCAAAACTCTGTGCTTCTCTTCTTTGTTCTTCGACTCTCGATCGAGGTTGTTAAATTCCAGTAGACCGCAATGAGTAAGTTTCTTTTAGTTCCTTTTATTTCGTAAGATGCCTATTTTTTTCTTTGATCGTGTGTATTTATGTTTGATTTTTTGTTATTTTTCTGGATTTCGATGTACTTTCTCTTTTTTTGATCGGTTCTATGTACTTTCTCTTGATTGTTCTTCATGTTTTGTATGTTTGTTCCTCCGAGTTTTGATCCAATTTTCTAGTCTGTAAGCAATTGTTGTGTGTCCCAAGTCATCCAGTATAGGTCGCGTATCTCAAGTCGTCCACGCTAATTAGTTTACTTGGGTCGATTTTCTTTCTTTACCCTACACTCCATTCTCAGACCGGCGTCTTGGATCTTGAACTGGAGTTACTACACATTTACCCGATCACTACATTTCCTTATTAGGCCAGATGGCTTCAGACATGCTACTTGATTCTTCAATAAAGTAAACCTTTTTTCCCTGCCTGAACCATTTACTTTATTTTGCCTTTTCCTGCTTAGACCATTTACTTTATTTTCTCTACACAACCCAGCATACTGATAAAAAGGTGCCAGATACAGGAGTAGAAAATCGGGCCGATAATGTCTTGCTCTGTATTTCAATAAGTTCTTGCAATAACCACGTCCACTGAATAGGAACTTCAAATAAAAACCCATACATCGGAAAAATAATATAACGACTACCCAATTCTCAATAAGCCTATACTTTCGCTGTTCAAACCAAACAAACCAATCTAATAAATCATTTATTTAGTACAACAGAATGTGGGGTACATGATATCCTTGAGTGTGCATCTCATTATACTTGTCTGTTTGACCTGCGCAAGTTCACATTATCTTGTCCGAGCCTTGACAAATTTGGTTCTTGAAGCCCTCTTCTCCATTTTTTCTCTCTTCTTCCTCGTCTTTTCATCTTCCTCGGCCCCCTGCACCACACACATATCAGATGGTACGAGTATTGCCTATGGCATCACAAGTATAATAACTCTTTTGGAGTTACTTGCACAAAATTACAAGACGCCATAGAAGTTAAAAATTCGAACACCCACAAAATTTGATGTGTATTTCATTTTTCCCCAGGGAAATACTTCAAAAACTCAACCTTTACAATTTACATCTACATCAATTTAATAGCTACCTGCCTAAAATACCCATGTCCCCTTTTTACGATTTTCAAACATATCAGGGAATTTCGTATTTAGAACAAAACCTCAAGAGTACTTTCTGTGACTATCCCTTTCTTACACATCACAGAGGTAAAAATTAAAAGGGTAGAGTGTAAGAGAGTACCTCTGAACTATGTGACAAAAACCCTTTGACAAGCCCAAATAGTTGATAGGCAGCAAATCCTGGAATCTGGATATTATGTAAAATAGTTCCAATCAATTCGTAAGAGATCAACACACATAATATCTCCAGGAACATTCTTGAATGGATACACGAATAGATGGGATTTTCATAATTTTTATGTGTTTCTTGCCACCAAGGGCTTTCAACTGCTAAGCTATAAATGTGAACAAAAATATCAAGCTTTAGCTGATGCAAAATCGTTCACAGCAGAAATGTCAAGCAAGCTAAAAGCTCAGGTTTGGTGTAATTGTCAAGAGGCAATAGCTTCCAAATATGAGTGTGTGCAAATAACTGTAAAAAAAGCTTGATCATTACTAATTCAACCCACACAACACTATATCTTCAAAATCAATCAATGTCATTGGTCCACGTACATACTCTTTGCATCATCATATCAAGATATATTAAAACTTTTGACATGATTCAGTTTTTGGAACATGTAATTTCAAACATTAAATGGAGCAGGAAGCAGTAAAAAATGATATACCAAGCCAGGGAAAAATGTTGAAGTAGAACGCCCTTTAGGATCAGAGAAATGTCACCACGTAAGTTAAATACGGTGTTTTCTGAGAAGCCTCATTGAAGCATAGTCTGTCCAATTATCATATTGTAAAATTCACTTTCCCTACATTTTTTGTGGCTTGTGTGGAGACAGTTGCACAATTAAGATACCACTAACTTTTACTAAATGATCTACTAGGCCAATCAACAAGCATCTGAATAAATTCTAACATGCCACAATCAAGGTGACATGTCATATATAATCATAACAATATTATTACCAATGATTAGGCTAGTATATAACTATTTGGCCAATAATAAGAGCTCCTCAGTCATTCACCTTTTGGCTCACACTGAGCCCCAAATGTGAAAAGCAACAAAAAAGATTGAAATATAAAGAAATTTAAGGCCAACGCCATCAACTGTACTAAAATATTCATGATGTTCTGTTGTGTTTGCTTTTTCTGTCCATTCCAAACATCTATTTCACGTTAAACACTACCCAATATGGAGGTTAATGAACTAATGAAGTGAGAATCTTATTTTAATAAGTTTAACCATTTGCTCTTATTTACTCCCGATAAAAATTATGGTTACACCTCCCCCCCAGTTTGACTTTGATGTGCCCAGAATCAGCGAAAACTGAAAAGTTCACCACATATAATATAAATCATTTCCCTTCAAAGATGTCGTAAAACTTTATCACTTTCTAAGACACATTTTATTTCACTTCCCAATCATCTGCAGATTTCTAAATGGTCCCCAATTACCTCAGAAATAATGATATGCCAGAAATGCTGGCAATCCCATAGCGACACAAAAAAAGATCATTATAATGACTCTTACGAAAGGAAAAAAAAAAAAAAGGAATGATTTCAAAAATAATTGCAAAATTATGTCCATTAACTTTAAAATTCTAGCAATATATATGAAACGTTCCATAGCTGTATCTAGGAAATAAAGCCCCAAACGAGCATCAACAGATATACAATTTTCATTACAAACAAAAACTTCACTGCTCAAGTCAAAGTCAGTTATTTTATCATATTAATCATAGTTAAAGCCCTTCTTCTCCATTATTATTTTATTTTTCTTTTGGCATGGAAGGATAAAATACTCACCACCAAGTAGATGTACCAGAACTTCTCAGAAATGATGGAACTGAGTTGGACAAACAATGTAATGTAGATCACATCATGCAGATATCTGCAAAAAAAAAGTAGAAATTAACGAATCATTACCTTCGCAATGCTGACACGAAACAGGAAACATGTTCTAAGCACATACTATACCACCCTAAAACAGAAACATATCAGAAAAGAACCTCCACAGTATAACAAAATATGCACATCCAATGGACACCAAAAACAAATTAAAAAAGAAAAAAAAAAGAAAAAGAAAAAAAGGGAAATGACACTAATACTGCAGGCGGGGGCACAGGTGTGCCGCAAGTAAAAGAGCAATCTTGCAGAAACTAAAGCACTTAAATATTTCTCGTAGTACCATATGCACGACAATTCAATCTAAGAAACAACTCACATACCCACATATTCCACCAGTGCTCATATCAAATCCGCCATCAAGAAGCTCTCCATCATCACTAAAAGTGGGCATGGCCATGGAGTTGAGCTGTTGGTAAGGAATAAAGTAAGCCAACGAAGTTAAAATTAGGCCCACCAAATGCTTCCATGTGAAACTGGAGTAGAATACACCAATCCTTATCACTAGATATATCGCCTGTCAAAAAGGAAAGCACAAAATTATTAGAGTTCACCAAATTAGGTGATATCAATAAAAAATTAACCACAAAACTGAAAAACCAATGGAAAGATTTTCTCAATTACATTGGAGGCAATGATGAGACGGAGGAGATTCTTCATATGGCGGGCATTTTCCTCTTTGCGCTTTTTTGCTCCTTGGTTCGCCATGGCTGGTAAAAGGTTTCGCCTT